AATTATAATTAAATTAGAGAAATTTTAAAAATAATTTTTATAGAACTTCAAATACTAATAATAAAATAAATTTAATATCACATATTTTTATAATTATGCAGATCAATCGATTTTTTCTCTCATTTATTTATTTTAATATGTCTAATAATGATACACATTATAATACTAATTATATACCAAAATACTAAACATTTTAAGGGATCTCCAATGTCTGTAGTCATAAAGGTCTTTAAAAAACCTTCTTTTATTACGCTCATAATATCTATGCAAAATAAGCATGTATGTTCTTCTAAAAATAACAACATTGCGTAATTTAGTGAACTAATGTTTTTGTTTTACTTAGTATCTTAATACCAATTTTTCCAATTTAACATTTCATAATTATTTTTATGTTATAAACAAATTTACCCAGTATAAATTTGTATAATTTTTTTATTACTTATTAAATACTAAACTACTTATAATTGTAATTGAATACAACAGAGAAGACAAAATTATATCAATGTCAAAACATATAACGCACGATTTAAATTTTAATCCTATTAGTGTGGTACAAATAAGAATTTGTAAATTAAAAACTAATCACGTGATATCTTCAGTGAATCTCATTAAAATTAAAAATTATAATGAACAAATGAACATCTTTACTATGAATAGAATCGTCAGTCACGTGAATCCAAAACAATGTATTAGGTTTCTCAGTGTACCAACATCAATATTTTATTTGTATGAATAGTTTAAAAATTACTCATTAATAATTTTTTTTATTTTAGTTTAGTATTGTAATTAAGATTTTGTATAACATAATTAAAATTATCTGTATTTTTTCAAATTAAAAAAATAATTATCAGGGTGGCTGAATACCATTTAATTACAATTAGCGAATTAATAACAATTTTTCTTATCAAAGGGAAATAAAAATAATTTTTTTATGAAATAATAAAAATAATTGCTTCAGTACCCATAACATCCCTCCGTAAAAAATTCCGACTACGCCATTGACCTTATTGTTAATGATTCTTGTATTGATATACAAATATAACAAGTGCATTTAAAAAAAAATTGTTTTGTTTTCCTAATTACTTATAACTTAATAATAAATTATGTTTATTCGAAAATAAGGTCAACAAACAATGCTCATACGTATGATTGTTCTGTAATACTCTCCTATGAATCACCAAAAAATAATCAAAATTTTAAAGAATGTATCAGCGTACTAATATTTTTTACAAATTTAATTAAATTTAATTTTATGGAGAAACCTTTATTTTACATAATAGCGGCACTACATTTTTTTAAATTAATAAGAACAAATTTGATTTTTAAAAAATATAAAAAAAAATTTTGATTGTTATACTTGCACTTTTTATTTTATTTTGATAAGCCAGCACTTATTTTAGATGTAAAAGGCTAGAACCTGATTTTAAATTATATTACGAAAATAGCGGAGGGAAATAAATGAAACACAACGTTAATTTTTAATTAAAAGAAAACTTATTCAAACTTTGAACTTATGAGTAAATCCGTTTTCACTTTATTACATTTATTCGTGTACTGAACATCATAATGCATTTTAAATTGTAATCGAGGGCAATTCAAATGAGGAAGAGATAAAGGCAGTGTATAATACAATATTACGTAATATACAGAGTCTTAAATCATGAATACTTCAAAAATATGATATTCGAAAGCGAAACACTTGAAACAAAAATATTGCTTAGAATAAACAAATATTAATGCAGAAAAAATAATGGTCAAAATAATGTATTCAAATTGTTGTTATTAGAATTTTAATGAAGTAAATATATTTTTAGCAACAGGAATTTTTATAATCAATAAGAAAATTGGTGCACAAATTAAACAACTCACTTGATAATAAGCGTTAAAACTCTTTTTTTAAACACAAAAGAAAATTATTCACAATTACTTTTGTTATAAATTTAATAGAAATTAATTACGTTTAAAGTTATAAAAAACACGAATAGTATGTATATATATTTGTATTAAGGACACTGTCAATAACAATTCTTCCTAAATTTATTTTTATAACTTTGGTTTATTATTAATTGTTAAAATACAGGAAAATTGTGGTAACTTTTTGAAGTCTGTAAAACTTTTTACTGACGTTAGTAGTTTGTATATCTACTTATACTATACTAATGGTATAGTTATTTTTTTATAGTAGGAATCATTTTTCGTAAAAATATCTGCTGTCAGAGTATTTACTAGATATTTATAACCCGTTATGATTGCAGATGCGACTTTTATTAAAATTTTAAAAAATACTGGAAAATCCTGTTTGAAGAGTTGATTTTTTCGGGTCTATTCCTAGTCTAGTCAGTATTTATAACTGTTGGTATTACTTATAAATTAAAATAATAAGTATAAATTAATAAGACTAACCATAAGTTAAAATCATTATACAGGTCAAATCCAATTTTAAAATAACCACCATTAAGCAGACTTTACTGATTATTTATTAGATCAAAAGCCGGGCCATGAATAAAAATGATCAAGTGAGGTTGCTTGTCCTAAAGTTTTCATAGTTGACTATCTAGATAGTTCTTATATTATAGTCAATCAAAAAAAAAAACTTTTTAGTTCTATTATCTATAAAATTTTTAGTCGATCAAATTAAAAGTTATAAATTTGTAAGTTTTGGTTTCCCCTTAAAAAAAATGACTTCGCTACGCTCTTGATTTAGGTATTGTTTATAAAAATATTATCAAGAGTGCACTTGTTATTTTTAGAAGAGAAAATTAAATAAATATATTTATGGGATATTATTAAGATATTGTATAATTAATTTTTGACATTCATAAAAATGTTTTTGTAAGTAGTTTGTAGAGCACTTGAAAATTTAAGGAATTTTCATCATAAATACGTTTATAAAGTTAGTAAAGAGTAAAATTTTAAATTTGTTTAGACAATGTGTATTTGCAAAGAAACTACAAATTGTTAATTTAATACATTTAATTTTCTGTATAATTTCAGGAAATCAATTAAGGAATATGATAAACAAATACCACTCGGTAAATTTTATACTAAAAAATAAAATTTGGTTATGTCTAATAAGCTTATAAACTATGACTATTTTTCAAGAGAAATATAGAAGAAAAAAACTATAAGATAAAATTATTCAAAAGGACTTACTAAATATTGTAATAGCATAATCAAAATGAACAAAAACATTGAAATTTATTCCAAATGTACTTAATGCTGAAAAAATTATTTATTTACTTTATATTGTCATCACTTATGAAGGATGAACTATTAGATAATAACATACTGATATAAGTATGATTTATTCAGTCCTTGGTTATTTTGGTTGCAAAAATCATGTATATGTGTTTTATTATATGTTATATGTATTATTATATCAAATTACAATTTTATTACATATTCTTTAAAAGTTATTTTGAAATAAATTTTTATTACTTTTAAATCAAGTGATGTTATTAAAAAAAAGTAATAATATTAATGATCAAACATCAACGGAAACAACGAAATAAAACTAAATTTTATTAAAACAAAACTTTTAAAACACGTCAAGGTAAAACCAATAACCAATAAATTTAGCATAACTTATATATAGTTATTGAATAATTGAGAATTTTGCGAAGATTATAATGAAAAATTTCAACTCGAGTTTATTTTATTAAATTATAATAAATAATTTACGTTAAAATAGTAAAAATAGTAAAAGTTATGACAAGTTATTATTAGTGAACAAACTAAACTCTATCGTGTTTTGTGATGTATAAAAAAAAATTAAATTAGAAATTATGGTAAGCGATAAGTAACTTTTATCACTGTGATCGATAAATTAATGGTAATAGATATTATCTTCTAATATCTGGATATACAATTAACCGAGAAGGTCCTGTAATTGTTTGGAATTTTAATGGTTTAAAGCATATTTAAATGTAAATATATGTGTCTCTAATGTTATCATTTAAGAAATAATACATCACAAATTAAAAAAATTTTTCTTCTTTGATGCTTGAGAGTTAATATTTCAAGTAGATCCGATTTTGTTCGTTTATTGGGGTTTTTCAGTATCGGGATCAGTTACTCCATACCCAACCTCAATCCAACCTATAAGCCAACCAGTTGACCTATACTTCATATTTTGTTATACTTTTAATAGTTAATGTTGTAAACTATGTTTCATACAAATGTTATTTTAGCACAATCTACTACATGGTGATTTATATTTGCACCTTTAGGTTCACGTTCTAATCAATAAGGATATCGATATTTCCTTAACTTTGATAATGATTATTTGACTTTTAATCATTAAAATGTTATAGCATTCTCCAAGTTGCTACACTATTAAACACTTATCATCAACATTTAGAGAGCTAGAGATCATTAAACTTCACATAAAGGATCATACTTAGCATTATATACAAATTTTTATATTTTTTTGTTGGACAAGCAAACTTTGAGAATGTTTAAGATCTTTAGTCCCTCCTTTATGTTCACCGATAATACCTAAATGTGTCATTAAGGTAATCCAAAATATTTAGTTAAAATTATAAAGCCAAAACAATTTATTTTAGAGATCGTAATACAATTTATTTCATAAATATTTGTTTTAATCGAGCCACACATTCTATATACTTAACACAAAACTATGGATTAACATATACTATATTATAGGACAATAATAGTACATAAAAATAATATTTTACATTAAATTACAATAAATAAATAATAAATAGAATTATTATAATTAACATTTTTGATTAATTACATATATTTTTACATAGTTTGTACAATATAATTTGTTTTGTAAAATTATTGTATGTACACTAAACAACAAATAAATAGAAAAATACATTTATTTGACTTATTATTTAAAAATAATTAATGTACCTACAAAACAAAAAATTTATTAAGTCTTAAAACCCTATTTTTTTACTACTACAAACATATATTGTGAAGTAATGTAATATTTGTATTTATTTATTTTTACTAAAGGACTAGAAAAACAACTTATAAAATTTTTCGAGGGGAAAATTAAAATAAGTGCCTATCAACAAAAGCTCAAATGTTTAAAAACAAAATAATTTTTTTGTTAATTTATTATTATTTAATCAGAATTTTTGTGAAAAAAAAATGCTCGATGAAAATTGATAAATTATATTAATCTGTACTATTAGACCTTAGTCCGTTTTATTCATTTAATATTTAATTATTGTAATAAATTATCATCAAATTCTCTCAAAATTGTCTACGTGAATTTTCAACAATATTAAAACACACAACATACACACACACACACACACACACAAATACGCTTACACAAACTTAATTTCTATTGCAACTATACAATAAAAATAGATTATATAACAAAATTAATAACGAAATACTGGGAAATATGATTATTTGGATAGATAAAGTTATTTCAATTGTTCCGTCGTTCTTTTACGAAGCTGAAATGGAAATGTAACATAAGGTAATGCTAAATTACCTTTTGGTACTGAGTAGGACACATCTTCAACAGGCAATAATGAGTATTTTTGAAGTAAAGTAGCAATTGTGCAATACGAAATAAGTTGTACTAGTTTGTATCCCATACAAGATCGTTTTCCGCCGCTGAACGGTAAAAAGTAGTCGGGTTTTTCTAATCTACCTTCTTCATTTATGAATCTTTCAGGGTTAAAATGTTCTGGATTTTCCCAAAGTTCAGGACTCATGTTTAAATCGTAGTTGTTGATGAATACTGTTGTACCCTTTGAAATTTTCATGCCTGTTATCAAAAATAAATTGTAACTAAAAGCTAACCAGGTTATATATTTATCTATTTTGGCTTACCAGCAATAGATGTGTCTTTGTTCGCCATATGAGGTACAATAGGAGAAGCAATTAACCGTATAGTTTCATAAACAACAGCTTCAGTGTAGGGCATTTGACAACGTTCAGCGAGTCCAATATTTCCGGATACTAAAGTTACAGCATCAGCTTCTTCTTGGATGCGTTTTTGTACGTCTGGTCTTTCTACCAAAAATCCTAAAGCCTTGACGATGAAGTTTGTTATAGCAGAATGCCCTCCTATGATATCTTCTAACGCAAATAATCCAACGTCAGCATTAAAACCATCGTCCCTGTCGGATTGAGAACAAGCCTCCAAGATACTGTCTACAAAATCAACAGGTTTGCTTTCATTTTTCCAAGCTGTGCGTCTTTGTTCAAAAATTTCGCTAATCATAAACTTTCGAATAGATGCGCTCCATGAACGCAACTTTTTGAAATGCCAATGATATAATGGTTTAAGCCAAGGTAAGAAATCTCCAGCAGATCCAATGTTAACTTCATAAAATACTTCGTCAAAGTTTCGAACAAATTCACGAAATCTATCGTACGATTTGGTAAATCGGGCAGAACAAAAGTACGACATGAACATATTGGCACAAGAATGAAGCAAAAGATATTTTAAATTCACACAACTCGTGTCGTTCAAAGCATCAATTGTATCTAATAAGTCTGTTAATTCGGTTTTCACGCATTTGTCTAAGCGATTGTACATATTAGATGCAGCATGAGGAAAAGTGTGGGCTCTTAACAATTCACGGCGAGATTTCTGAAGTTGAGACCAATCACAAAACGCCAAAGCTAAAAAAATTGTCAAGTAAGTAATTGGTCCAATTGAAAAGTAAAAATATTTTATCAATAAAAAGTACTTACAGTTATTTTTGTCGCCTTTAAAAAGTTGATTGAAACGACGGAATGATGGTCGACTATCGAAATGATCACCTTTTACCATTAAAACTTCTCGAATATTTTGCAAACCATTGATAACAACACATGGTACTGTTCCCAAATCTAAGCGGAAAACAGCGCCTAAATCAACCATTATTTCTCCGAATACTCGGTAAGGCACCTTATGACGTGCCATCAAGTATAGATGACCAATAATTGGCCAAGATTTAGGTGCTGGTGGTTCTCGAAGTCCTTCGTTAATATCTTCATCCAAACTTTTTGTCTTCACCTCATCCCGGATCAAAAATAGCAAAATCGCAGTTAACACAAAAAGTAAAAGATAAGTTAAAGAACTAAACACGAACTCCATTATACTATTATTAATGAAAAAAATGTACTACTTTTAACGAATATTTATTTTTTTTTATTGTTGTAGAATTGTACAGCGCAAGGGTGTGTGTGTTGTTGTGGTTGTTGATTGTGTGCTGAGCTCCTACGCTCGACAATTGGCGTGTGGTAATCCGATTTTCCTTTTTATATGCGTTTTAAATCAGCTGATTGAATGCTGTCGAAAAGGACAGATCATAACAAATTTCCATTGCAAATTATTATTTTTCCCTTTCATCCTGTATTTCACTCTGGATCACCTACAATATGTAAAATTGTCGCATCGGCTAGACGCACGTACTAAACTACCATCTTTGATTGGTCATGACGTAATCGTTTACATTATAGCTATAATAATTCAATTTAAATATTTTTTCGGCTTTTAATTAAAAAAAAAAAAACATTTAATAGTAAAATAATGAATTATTTCGTGTTTATATATGTTCGTAACAAATATTTAATTATTAAATACTCGATAAGTACAAAATAAAGTTTTATTTTTTAAACAATGTACTCCCTAAATAAAAATTTATGTTTAGGGAAAATTTTAATTATTATTATTTTAATTTTAAATTTTTAAAAAAAAAACCTCAGTATCTCTGCTTGTAAAAGCATTGAAACTATTAGATCCGATTACAACTTTTTCTTTTAAAAAAATGGATTAAAATAATGACTATTATTCTGCATGCGTTAGCGATAGCAGATGATACACCAATAATAGTAATTCATTTGATTTTTTCACTTATAACTGTCACTTTAGAACACAAATAAATTGACTATATTATACAAAATTTAACTACATAATTACATTGACTCAAGAAATCAGTACAGTTCTTACTAATAAATGCCATACAAAAATTAAAAAAACTATATATATAGTTATTATATAGTAAGTACTCAATAGATATGATAAGATTAATAGTTAAAACTATTAGATTATGGATTCTGAACGGGTACAATTAACGCAAACTCAGATTAATAGAATACACTCCACATAATTCATCATTCTCTACAAAATAATCCAAATATTATATTGTAAAGTAAACAAATCTTGTATCTTATAATCTTATAGTATGAAATGATATTGATTAATTAATATTCATTAATATCATTGTTCCATTAATCTAAAAACAATGTTTTAAAAGTCAACTACTATTAACTTTAAAATTGTTTACTGGAACAATTTTTGTATATATCTTAGTAAAGGTTATCTAAACGTTCAATGTTTTTGACCATTGCAAATAAATGAATTAGGGACACATCTTTACATATTTAAGAACCTATACCTCGGTTTTGTATTCCAAATAACGGCACATACCCCGTCCCCTTTGAGCTCCTGTGTAATTTATTCATTGATTTTTATTATTAGCCGTCACGTATAATGTAGTATTATACAGTACATACCGCCTATATAAAATAACAGCATCTTCTCTCTAATGTACCCATAAGGTGGTACCCAGCAGTTGACTTTCATAGTATTAGGTCAGTACGGCGGCGTAATTGTCGTCGTATTTTACAATATGAGATAAGCCACTAAAATAATCCAACATGGATAATTCATGTGTTTTTGTTATACACTACACAAACATTACTACACATATTTAAACGGCTGGAGATTAAAAACAAAACAAGCAAAGAGAAAAGTAGACAGAAAAAAATTTCCAAAGCATAAGTTGTTTCTGAGAAAGGGTCACCGTGACCGATTTAGCGAAAATTATAATACTTATACACAAACATTGTGTGAGCATTAGCACGTAGATATAACATTCCGAAGGTTTAAAGACTAATTCACGATACATTATCAGAAAAACATTTTTAATTTTTTTTGGTGGCCTTTAATTATTCTCTTGTTTACAACTAACACCATTGTTTATTTAAGTATATTTTAAGTTATTAATTTTTTTATCATGTTTTATTATGTATTAAAATCAATATTTTAATTGTATTTTTTTTTTTTTTTTTTTAAAATTTTTTAAAAAATTAATTTTAAGTTTAAAATTATTGAGAAGATATTCCAATATTTATATTTTTTGTTCTACCAACTTATTATTTTTATGTAGAAAATAAAATAAGTAGTTATTATAGGTGTCACGTGTTTATTTTANGTTTTAATATTTTGGAATTTTGTTTACGACTGTGTCATACATTTTAATTATCCAAGTTCTCTTCTTTACTATCATGATTATAACTGATGTATTGAACTTTTCTAATAGTAAATAAACTTTTAGAATAATACCAACCAAAAAATTCAAATTTAGGAGATCACTTAATATAACTTGATCACATTCTTCATATTTTCATAATTTTATAATTTCGTTTGAATTTTACATTTTTATTTGAATTAATTTATTTAGAAAAGTAATAAACAACTTGAATTAAACTATTGGTTAGAAGAATGCCAATTGTATATAAATATTACTTGTTATTTTAAATATTTGATGTGTTGGGCAATACGGTTCCTGAATATAGCAATGGTTGAACTTATATTCCACATGGACGCAAATCTAAAGCTTATACTAACACTCCTAATGGTTTTCAAAGGTCTAGTCTTTATGGATTATGAGGGAATGTCAACAAATCGACTTGCAACTTATAATTTACTAGACACGCCATCAATACATTATTAATGTGATCTTGCCAGCACTTTTATTCAATATCGTAGAATATAAGTATATGGATAACGTATTTAAATTTACGTAAAATAATCTGTATTTATATTTTTCATCGTAGTTGCTGCCGACGAAGCTATAAGGGTATAGAGAACAATTTATGTGGGACAGATACATTGGTCATTCACTCAATCACACAAACACATATGATGTTTGTGTGAATAGTAAAAAACATTACGAAATTATGTATGAAAATGGTAAACAATAGATTTCCTGAAAAACGAACTGCCGCATTTTACACGTAGCCACCATGGCATTAGAAAGCTGCTAAACTATGTAAATCAAATTATAATACAATTATCACAGTCACCGAGGGAAAATGTGGAAATAATTTTTATATTGTAATTTATCTTTAAATTTATGTACTTATTGACCTGGTTATATTAGGCTGTAAGTGAATATAAGATTAAATTGTATATATTTGTAAATATGTTGAAATGTCGAGCCTTCTGATTTGAATTTTTAGAAATATTTTATACAAGATGTGAAAAATAACATTAAAATTCGTCAAATAAAATATATATAATACAATATTTGTTTTACATATCACTCTCTATTGGTTAATCAATGAGTATGATTTATTTATTCCGGATATTTTATTATAAAAAAAAAAACAACAATTAAAAAAAAAAAATGTATATTAAACAATAATATTCTAATTTCTTTATTGATTTTCATAGTTATAACTCAGTTTTTAGAAAACAAAACTTTTATAGTTGCTGCTACTGAATTTTTTTTTATCGGATTAATAAAAATAAGGTAGCTGGACAATTTGATTGAATGCATATAAAAAATTGCAAAGTTAAAAACGAAAATATATGTGTATATATACAGGGTGTTCAGTAAGTCAGGAAACAGGTTTCTATTGTTCTCATTGTTTGTAACAATGAGAACAATAGAAACCCGTTTCCTGACTTACTGAACACCCTGTATATATATGTATACGTTTTCATTGGTATCGTTTTTGTGGACATTATTTCTATTTAATTATCGTATTTTATATGTATTTATTTCAATGTTCAAAGCAGTGTCGGTAAATAATAGGAGATAGAGATATAGATCTTTCTCATTGATATACTTTTTTTGACATTATTGTACAGTTTTCTTTGTATGAATATATATAATCTTAGAAACTTTATATATGATAAGTTATTAAGTGTAATTAGAATGTAAAATTATGAATCCTGCAATTTTGGGAGATTAAAATTTAAGTCTTGGTTATTATTTATGTGGGCAAATTAAATGGTGTAATATTTAAAATAAGTTAAGTACTTGAAGTAGGCTTAATAAGAAGTAATCCATTTATGAATATCAAATGCTCTGGGGTATAAGAACACAGATCTTATGAAGATTTTTATCAAAAAGGTTTTTCATTCCTTACCATGAAAAACTTTTGACCACTACTGATTTTATGTATAGAATCCTTAGAATCAGAATCAATTTATATTGATATCAATACTAAAGTTTCGTATATTTTTTAATATTTTTAAACCTTACATCTGACATAACATTCACAGTTAAAAAAGCAACTAAAAGTTAACACACTTTTAAATTTTTTTACTCAATTCAATAATATTTCAGGTAGGCCGATAATTCGTACTTCGCAGATAGCTCCTAAAACACAGACTTTGGTGTAACTTTTATATTTTGTCTTAAATGTTTTGACCAGAGATGAAGACTTCAAAAATTAGAAAACACTCTTGTCAAGATTCTTTTTGGGTGGTGAGAGGTCCTGAGCATAAACCGAATATAGAACATGATATGGTTGCTAAGCGATCCATATCAACATCTGTAAGTATTAGGAAACGTTTCATAGAGATAATTTCAATAACACTCAAAAGTAGACGCAGATTGTAAAATTGATAACTAGGTTATCATCTAATTATTATTAATAGTGTTATAATAATAAATACTGTGTCAATATTAAACGCTAAAATTATTCGTTTTATTCTATTTTGTAATGCAAATTTAGTATTTAGCATAGGTAATTTTTTACACGTAATAAATTTTTATTTTGATATTTTTATTGTAAAATTCTGTAGTTTCCCAAAGAATGTAGTAGTAGAAGTTATACAAGTTATTAAATTACTTATTATAATTGGTCATGAGTTTTAATATTTTATACTTACTCAGTTGCTTAACGTCTTTATATCGCATTATTAAAAAAAATCCTTAGATTTAAGTGCTCAATGAACCCTTTGTCGGCATATTATATCAAAGAGAAATTATCAACAAAGTTTCATATTTATATTTATTTATTATAATTTAGAGCACAAATATTTTTTAAAATATCTTTTGGCTCTTATAACGTATCTACAAAAAAGAACATGGGACATGTAGTATAGATTTCTAAAAAAAGTATAGATGAAAAATATTCTTTAATACTTTACAATACTTTATTATTTCAATTGGTATTAGTCTCTATTAAAATAATTTTTATCACATTTAGTATCGAATAATTTTTATTATATTGAACATCTTTACTTAAAAA